TCTTTGAACCACTTTTGGTTTTTTCTTAGTTTTTGATGGTGATTCTTGCCCCATGATGTACGCTCAGGAAATGAATACGTTCTATGCAAAACAAACGAACTAGACTAAAGTTTTGTCTCCAAATATTAACGGCAAGATTCAGTTCAGTTGTTGAAACGTTTAGTAAGTAGTGTTTTTTTGGTGATTTTTCTTTTTTTTTTATTTGCTGAGAAATTTTACTTTGAAATGATGCTTTCTAAATTCGTTATTCATTAGGGGTCAATTAATGGTAACTTTTGGTTAATAATAATTTAAACGTACGTAGTCGTCGTATCGTTTATACTACTGTGACGAGTATAAATTAAAAACTAGAGTTCAAGAACGCGTTGTGTTCCGCCGAACGTAATGACTAGACTGAGTGATTTTTACATTGGTTTTCGAGTTAGATAGATAGATAGATAGATAGATAGATAGATAGATAGATAGATAAGATAGATAGATAGATAGATAGATAGATAGATAGATAGATAGATAGATAGATAGATAGATAGATAGATAGATAGATAGATAGATAGATAGATAGATAGATAGATAGATAGATAGATAGATAGATAGATAGATAGATAGATAGATAGATAGATAGATAGATAGATAGATAGATAGATAGATAGATAGATAGATAGATAGATAGATAGATAGATAGATAGATAGATAGATAGATAGATAGATAGATAGATAGATAGATAGATAGCTAGATAGATAGATAGATAGATAGATAGATAGATAGATAGATAGATAGATAGATAGATAGATAGATAGATAGATAGATAGATAGATAGATAGATAGATAGATAGATAGATAGATAGATAGATAGATAGATAGATAGATAGATAGATAGATAGATAGATAGATAGATAGATAGATAGATAGATAGATAGATAGATAGATAGATAGATAGATAGATAGATAGATAGATAGATAGATAGATAGATAGATAGATAGATAGAGATAGATAGATAGATAGATAGATAGATAGATAGATAGATAGAGATAGATAGATAGATAGATAGGATAGATAGATAGATAGATAGATAGATAGATAGATAGATAGATAGATAGATAGATAGATAGATAGATAGATAGATAGATAGATAGATAGATAGATAGATAGATAGATAGATAGATAGATAGATAGATAGATAGATAGATAGATAGATAGATAGATAGATAGATAGATAGATAGATAGATAGATAGATAACTATTTGCGTTGCAGAGATTATTTGAAAATAGTAAAAAAAAAATATAAATTTGTATTCCCCCCCAATAATTATAATTAATTCGTTTAAGAAAACAATAAAATATTTGCAAAATACTTATGTACTTGGATTTTATACTAGTATTTATAATAGAAATAAATGTTTTAAACAGCTGCATCTGCAATTTATTTCTGGATAACTTAAGCTTAGATCAATATTGTAATAAATATGTTAAATCACTATTTAAGACAAATGTTTGCTTAGCGTTGTTTACTTTTAAAAGTGTTCTGTAAAAGTAAACATTTACAGAACACATAGCGTTTTATTGGTTCTTGGTTACGCTTTATCGATATTTTGTCAATATTTCTTTAACGAAGCCTACGACTTTGTTTTGATTCGTTTATAGCAGTACAAATACATTATTGGCGACATGCCACATCTAGTTTATAAATTTACACTTAAATATTTTCTTTACACTTTAAATCACTAGAAATTTCATATATTTATACTTACAAAATTTTACCGCCTCCAAATAAGGGTAACGTATAGGTAGGAGTTGTTGGTAGGCATAAACTACGATCCACAAACATAGACACCAATTCACTGTACACCACTATGATGATGGGAAATACCAAGGATTTCAGGAAAGCAGCAATAAAAGCCAAAACCAAGAGAAAATATTCCCAACGTGTGGCAAAACAGAAAAGTTCAAAAAATCCTACTTCTCTTTGAACCACTTTTGGTTTTTTCTTAGTTTTTGATGGTGATTCTTGCCCCATGATGTACGCTCAGGAAATGAATACGTTCTATGCAAAACAAACGAACTAGACTAAAGTTTTGTCTCCAAATATTAACGGCAAGACGGCACAGCGTAGCACCAGAATAGCAATAAAAAAAACAGTCAACTAACTGAAGAACGCAATCAATTAATAGCAAAATTCAGTTCAGTTGTTGAAACGTTTAGTAAGTAGTGTTTTTTGGTGATTTTTCTTTTTTTTTTATTTGCTGAGAAATTTTTACTTTGAAATGATGCTTTCTAAATTCGTTATTCATTAGGGGTCAATTAATGGTAACTTTTGGTTAATAATAATTTAAACGTACGTAGTCGTCGTATCGTTTATACTACTGTGACGAGTATAAATTAAAAACTAGAGTTCAAGAACGCGTTGTGTTCCGCCGAACGTAATGACTAGACTGAGTGATTTTACATTGGTTTTCGAGTTCATTATTAGATTTTATATTTTATCACATTTTTCACTTTATTACTAAATATAAAACTATAAAATTTTATTTAATTTAATTTAGCAAACATTTTTTTTGCTAAATATTTTTTAAGTATTTAGAAAGAGGGGGAAATATTTTGTACCTTTTTTTTGTTGATTTTTGATTAGCAATATATGGGGTTTCTTATCAAAAATTTATTATTATTCCTTGTTCTCTAGGCATCTATAAAAAAAAAGCTTTTTTCTATTTATTATAACTTATATTCTAATAATATGGTCGTTATCTTTTTTGTTTTAGAAAAACCTCTTCATAATGGGCTGTCGATATTTAAAAATTATATTTCATCAGATTTGTTCATGATTTTATTAATTAATTGCTATTTAAAGTTAAGTACTCAATAGCATGTGGTGGTACTCCTCTACCATGACACAGCGTTATTATTTTTTGTTACCCTGCCTCAATAAGGGAGAGGTTATGCTTTATGATTTGTTTGAAAAAAGTTTAAGTTATCAGTTAGCACGTGTTACAAATTGAAATTGAATGTTCGTCTATACCGACTCTAATATACCCACCGTTCCAACATTTGTTGGGAATTTCGAATAATCTATATGTATATATAAAAGAGTAGCGTTACTGACTGACTGATTCATCATCGCACAGCCCAAACGGCTGAACCTAGAAGCATGAAATTTTGACAGTAGATGTGTTTTTGTTTATGTAAATCCACTAAGGAGGAATTTTTGAAAATTTTTACATTTACGGGTAAAAAGGGGAAAAAATGGTTAAACAGTTTTTCTTAATTATCTTACACAATATTAGTGATACAAGAAAAATTTTAAATGCACCTGTATCTACTCTTAAAATGAGCAGATGGGTGTCTGGTACTTTTTTGAAATTCCTAATTTTAAGGGGTAAAAATGTGTAACAATTATGATTTTGGTACTTTTTTTGGCCCTTTATAACTTTTGAACTAATTAACTATAACTAATTATAATAACTTTTGAACTAATTAATAATACAATTTTTATAAATATTTTGGATACATCTCCCAAAATTATGAGACACCTGTTTCGTACTTTTTTAATATTCAGTCCTTTTTGGGTGTAAAAGGGGGAAAACTGTATTTATGGTACTTTTTTAGCACATTAAGAAAACTTTTTCGGTTTATTGAATTATTCCTATTAAATTACGGACTAACTCTGTAATATTTATTGTAATAAAATTTTTGCTATTTCACTGGGGAAAAAAGTACCAAAAAGGGAAAGAACGGGATATTTAATTTTATTCAAACTCATTGAGCCAATTTTTATAAAATTTTAAAAAGTAGGTTATTTACTCAAACAAAATAAGCTGTTGGTATATTATTTTGGAATTCGAGTACTAAGATCTATACAGGATCAAATTCGAGTAAATTGTTTGGTACTTTTTTGAAAGCATTATATTTCTGGAACAAATGAATGCAGATTTGAATCATTTGAGTTTTATCTGTGATATATAGTTTTACATAAGTACGGAACATTTTGTAAACTTAATTCTCAAAAAAGTATATTTCTAAGCGAAAAGGGGAAAAATTGTACTATTTTTATTAGTACTTTCCACTAAGGTAGAATTTATTCCACTTTTGGTACTTTTTCATTCTTCAAATGATACTCTGTATGTTCTATAATATGAATTCAAAACACATGATTATTAAACATACACGGTCCTCATTGAATAAGATTCTTTAAGAGAGAACTTTTTAGTACTTTTTATCTCATAAATGGTACTTTTTTAATTTTTTTAATATATTCAACCTAGGAACATTATTTTAACATACATGGTCTTGACTAAATAATATTCTGTAAGTGGGAACTATTTGGTACTTTTATATTCTTCAAATAGTACCTTTTAGATTCTTTATAATGGTTAACCGGAACACACGGTCCTTATTAAATGATAATTTATTGAGAGAGATTTTTGTACTTTTTCGTTTTTCCGATGGTACTTTTTGATATTTTTTCGATATTGAACATACATATTGAAAATAAAATTTAAAATGTAAGGACCTTAGTGAATGAGAATCTACTTAAAGGGATTTTTGGTACTTTTTATTCATTCATCAAACTATATTTTTTTAATTGTATATAATATTGAACACAGAAACATAAAATTTTTGATTAAATATTAATCTATTAGAGGTACATATTTTATAGTACATTTTTTCAATAGTACTTTCGCATTCAGCTTCTTACTGAATGCGAATTTAATCACGTGATATTGAACGTATAAAACTGAAACATTAAAAAAATGTTTCAGTTTAATTAATTTAATTTAATTTTTTTATAAAAGTAAACAAAATTTTGTATGTATTTAATTTAAGTTAGGGTAGCGAAGCACCTAGGGTATGCTAGTGTTTATGTATAGTATTAGCTATGTATGTGTGCTGTGCTACCCCAAAAACAATAGAAATACAAAACCCACTTTAAGATTTTGACGAATCTTGCAGACCTATATATCCTATACACTGATTTCAATGAGCCTAAGATCCATAAATTGGTAACAATAAGATGAATATTAGACGAATATGTGAGAGATATAATGTTCATTAAATGTTTCGTAGATTTCCAGAAGTTTTCGCTAGTAGAGCTTGGACTTCAAGATGTCCTAGTGGATCGGTATACTTTAAGGTGGGTGTGTTAAAAACATCAGCACAAATCAAATATATCCTCTTCACTTAAGTGTTGTAGGGTATAAAACGATTATCAGATAGATGTCAGCAGAATTATCAATTCGAACCTGGTACTGTTGCATTAGGATAAAGGTTAGCAGGGTGAAGGCATAAAGAGAAGTGTTATCGCCTCTCCTAGGGCTACTAGATGTTAACGGCAAAAAGATCGTTGCCTATGCGTACGACGTAGTGTTTCTGGGTAAAATAATATTTCTATTCATGGTCAGTGATATTATAAAATCTGAGCTAGGCGAACTTTCGATTTGGGCGAAGAAGTGATACTTTTTACCAGACGATGCGGGGTTTATATAGTAAGAATTTTTAAGGATATTCCTTAGGAAAATATAAAAACGGGACTCAATGCCTGCTATACGTGCAAGAACTCCATCGGAAATGACAGATTAAATGGAGTTATCCAGGTCAACTGGAGTTATATATTATAGGACCTTTCTTACGTATGGATGTATCGAGAACGGAAAGTTATAGAAAGATGATCAATAAAGCTCAAAGGTGTACCTACTGGGGCATTACAGTCGTAATAAGGAGAACACCATAAGTTACTTTGGACATCAAGTGTGGGAGCAAGGAATATACTAAGACTCTATGAAAACTCATAGAGTCTAAGTATAGTCAGTCCAACATTCGCAAGAAAATTACATAAAAATTTTCAGGTTAATTTCCCTAATGGAATTTCAGATCAATTTACTTTAGACTTCGGATGCAGACAGAGAAAGACTTCCGAAGAAGTATAGTATCTTCTAGTCGTATATCTTAGCTATCTGAAAAGTTACGGAACAGATATGAGAACAGAAATATCTGGTATCCGTATACAGATACTATATTCATATATTGTTACTATAAGGCACATGGAACATTTAACTGTCAATGTGTTATTATAAGGCTTTCTGTTTCTGAACATCAGACGACAATACATTCACTGTCGAACTGGCAAGATTAGATTGAAATCTGGATCCACATGAAATGGACAGAAAGGTAAAACCACACTTGTGTCACTATTATAGGTTAATATCCGAAAGATTCCGTGGTAATATCAATCAGTCCTGCAAAAGTAGAATTGATTGTACAGTATCTTAATGCGAATTCAAATGGGACACATATTGGACTAGATATATCTAGTCTTAGGATTCTGATTGGGATTATAACACGGAATTGTTTTGCTTCGGTTTTTGTCAGTGAGACAATATCATACCGAGCTTCTGCAGGTTATGCGAGGATATTGAGAAACTAGATATAGTAGAGTGAATAGTCTGCCACTGTCCTAGAATACAAGGCCACAGGCTGAAAAATTCTAATTTCGTTGATGGAAATCACAATGGACCCCATTGGTCTTTCAATGGAGTTGCACCTTATTGGTGCTTAGCCCTTCGTAACCTAACCTTAAACGTTCAACATGAGTCCAGACTGTTAAACGTAGGACTGCGTGAAATCGTCCATTTTCAAAACAAATCAGTAGAGAATGCATGTGGGCTTTATCGTGTTTTCAACAGACAGACGGACGGAGATGACTAGATTTTCTTAGAATCCATATACTTTTGTGGGTTTACGTATAATATTTTGATGAGTTACAAACGGAATAACAAAATCAATATACCCTCTAGTTTCTTAATGATTTTAGATGTGATTTCAATTTTTCAGTTTAAAATGGATCTCTTTTCCTTTATAGTTCATATAGTGTTTAAAGCTTTTAATTTAAAAGCTTTCAAAACTATTTCACAATATTAATAAAAATTATTTAAATTGAATTCAAATGCCCCAGCACTATATTTTTAACCTGCCTCAATAAATTTGGGAGACGTTTTATTGATTTTTCCCAAATCTTATCATATTGTTTATTATAAACTGATAACATTTTAGTAAATATACATAAATATGTATACTAAATAGTTATTAAAAGCTTTCAAATATCAACACGTTTTATTAGCATGACCAGATGATATTTGAGCTAAAAGATATGTATAATAAATAGTAACACGTGAAATTTAAACATATTCATGTCTATCTTGCTAAAATTTTAAAATTTAAACTGTTTTGGCGGTTTTTTTTCAAGCAATTTCTTTTTAATTAAATATTGTAAAATACTTTCGATATAGTAACTTAATGATTATATTTCATAATATTTTTAGCGCCCCACTCCTGTTTCTTGTTGATATTATAGATTTCTAACTTTTCAAATATTTCAAATATTTGCTTAAGACACTTTTGTTATTTACTTAACTTATCAAAACAATAACATTATTGTTATTATTATTTTTTTAATTTGAAATCTATAAAAAGATTTCGTTGTATTAGTTATATCATATTTCAAACCACT